TTCTTAATCTGATTATTAAGTTTTTTGAATGATCTGTGACCCTGTTTATCTTTCTTTATTCCATACCGCCTGTAGTCTCTCAGATCTGTGTAAAATCTTTTGGTCCTAAGCTGCAAGCGTGGAATGGATGGACAGCATTGAAATAGACCCTCCAGTTCAACTCCTCCATGCTGACCAGATATCCTAAATTAATCTAGTCTCATTTGCCAGCATTTGGCCCATATCCCTCTGAATCCTTACTTGTCATATACCTATCCAAATGCCTTTTAAATATTGTAATTGTACCAGCCTCCACCACTTCTTCTGGCAGCTCATTCCATACACGCACCACCCTTTGTGTGAAAAAAGTTGCCCCTTAGGTCATTTTTATATCTTTCCCCTCTCACCTTACACCTAGGCCCTCTAGTTTTGGACTCTCCCATCCCAAGGAAAAGACCTTGACTATTTACCCATGCCCCTCATCATTTTATAAAACTCTATAAGATCACTCCTCAGCCTCTAACACTCCAGGGAAAATAGTCCTAGCCTATTCGACCTCTTCCTATAGCTCAAACCTCCAACCCTGACAACATCATTGTAAATCTTTTCAGAACCTTTTCAAGTTTCACAACATCCTTCCTATAGCAGGGAGATCAGAATTGCATGCAGCATTCCAAAAGTGGCCTAACCAATGTCCTGTAGAGCTGCAACATGATCTCCCAACTCCTACATTCAATACACTGACCAATAAAGGCAAGCATACCAAACGTCTTCTTCACTATCCTAACTGCATGGGACTCCATTTTCAAGGAACTATGAACCTGCACTCCAAGGTCTCTTTGATCAGCAATTGTCTCCAGGACCTTACCATTAAGTGTATAAGTCCTGCACTGATTTGCCTTTCCAAAATGCGGCACCTCACATTTATCTAAATTAAACTCTGTCTGCCATTCCTGTGCGCATTAGTCCATCTGATCAAGATCCCATTGTACTCTGAGGTAACCTTCTTTGCTGTCCACTACAACTCCAATTTTAGTGTCATCTGCAAACTTAATAACCCATGTCCACATTCAAATCATTTATATAAATGACGAAAAACAGTGGACCCAACACCAATCCTTGTGGCACACCAATGGTCACAGGCCTCCAGTCTGAGAAACAATCCTTCACCACTACCCCCTGTCTTCTACCTTCGAGCCAGTTCTGTATCCAAATAGCTAGTTCTCCCTGTATACCATGCGATCTAAGCCTGCTAACCAGTCTACCATGAGGAACCTACTTCTTAATCCTTATTCCTACTGCATTCAACCTTGTGTCTGATAACTGAATTTCTGGAGAAATCATTTAAATTATTTACTTTTCTATGATTATAAAATGCAAGTACATGACCGTGAAAATGGATTGTAGTAAATTTGGATGTGGTGAAATTATATATTTTGGTTTCAGCTAATTTACAATGTAGCTGAATTGAGTAACATTTCTGAGATAAAGGAATCACAATCTGTAATAATGGAAATATTAATTAGGAGGCAGATCCTAAAACGCCTTGCCTTACCTGAGGACACAGTGCAGTCCATCGAGTGGATTGATTGTCCCTCAAGTTGTAAGGCAGAGACAGGTGAAGCATGAAGCAGTCAGGTGAAGTGAGCCATTGCTCTGTAAAACAATTCTCAATTCCCTTTCATAGGTGAGTCTAGCTTTAAGTTTGTCGGCTTGTTTTCAACAGCTTGGACATTTGCCAGAAGTACGCTGGGGATGGGGGATTTGAAACTATATTGTTTCAGTCTCACCTGTAGGCCTGTGTATCTCCCACAAGTGGCACCCATCTCACTTGATGGGTAAAAATTAAGTCCAGGCCGATGGTGATACAGCCTTCCATCATATTGAATCCTTATAGCAACAATAAATTTCACCTCGGATATATATTTTATTTTTACATATTTGTATCCAGTTGGGAACAAATACAATTTTATAATACTGGATAATATAGCTTTGCTGGTGGCTATGATTCTGAGAAGTGAGTTCTGATTGATCAAAAGACCATACGAAATAGGAACAGGAATAGGCGATTCAGCCCCTCAAACTAGCTCCGACAAATAATTGGATTATGGCTGATCCGACATTTCTCACATCCCTATTCACATAACTCTCAATTCCCCTACTGATCAAGAAGCTATCTATCTCAGTCTTAAATATACACTTCCCTAAGTGAATTCCTCCAAGTCATCAATATATATTGTATACCAGTTTTGATCCCAGCACTGGCTCCTGTTGAACCCCATTGGTCATGAGTCATCAACCTGAAAAAGAACCCCTTATCCCTACTTGCTGTTTCCTGCCCATTAGCCAATTCTCTATCCATGCCAATATTCTAACTCCAATATTTCTTATCATTTAGCCTTTTGTGAGGTACCTTGTTGAATGCCTTCTGAAAGTTGAAATGCAACACATTTACTGATTCCTCTCTGTACACCATATACTTTCTATATACGCTAGAAGGACCACACATACAGACCAGATATGCAATTAAACTAGCAACCACCCCAATGCCCACAAACGGAGCTGCATCAAGACACTATATTTAAATGATCCACAACACATTGCAGCAACCCGGAACTGTGCAAAGCAGAACAGGAGTACTTGTACGGAGTCTTTAAAAGGAATGGATACTCAAAAAGCACAATCCGCCGTTACTTTCGAGACAAGCCACAACAGGAAGACACAACACAACCAGAATCACTAAACACCCTACCATACATCAAGGACATTTCAGAGAAGACCACAAGACTACTCAGACCTCTAGGTATCAGCGTAGCCCACAAACTGTCAACTACCCTATGACAGCTACTGAAGAACGTAAAGGATCCCATACCCAAAACCAGCAAAACTGGGTAATATACAAAATACCATGCAAGGACTGTGAGAAACACTACATAGGCCAAACCAAAAGAAAATTGACTATACAGATACATGAACACCAAATAGCCACCAACAGACATGACCAATTCTCACTAGTCTCACTACACACTGACAATGAAGGACACGAATTCAGCTGGGACAACACATCCATAATCGCACAAGCCAAGCAGAGACATGCCAGGGAATTCCTGGGGGCCTGGTGTTCTAACTGGAAGTCCATCACCAAACACATTAATTAGACCCTGTGTACAAACCACTGAGAAACCAAACCGGAAGTAATACTAACCAGTCCAGCAAACTGAGGTATATAAATAACAAGCGGGACAGAACACCAACACTTCACCAGAGGTGCACTGACAATGTTACCTAGCAGGGTGATGAAACGTTTGCAACCAAACCCCCAGGCTCGGTGAGCAAGTCTACAACCTCATCCACAACCCGAGGTACAAATCTTCTCGAAAACTTTAGAGGTACATCCACTTCGTGCTCAACAGGAGTCCATTAAGTGAACTCCGCACTAGGCCATCTGCTTTGTCTCCACAATCCCCTGCTGCATGTAAATCAGCTGTGGAAGTAGAATGAGGCCCTTAAATAGCCCTTACCTGGCCACTTAAGGGCCTCAAAAGGCCTAAGCCTGACACTTTTGCCCTCCACTGTAATGTGCAAATCAGATTAAGGGTTGGCAAGAAGAAGTTGGGGAAAACACCCATTTTATTTTACAAGGCCATGTCCCCATCTTCAAGTCTGTAAGTAGGGTCTGTAAGGCCAGCACCATGTGGGTGTTTCCACATTTTATCAGCATCTCTGTTTTGACAGCACTTTCCCTTAATGTTTTATCTGTGTATTCTTCAATAAATAAAACTTTTGCCCATGTCTTGGCTGAGATACTCTGTTGTTCTATTCCACCCATAATTCATTCTGATTGAATCATAGAATCCCTACAGTGTGGAAGCAAGCTATTTGGTCAATCAAGTCCACACTGACCCTCCAAAGAGCATCCCACCCAGACCCATCCACTACCCTATCCCTGCATTTCCCACCCTAGACACTATGGGCAATTTAGCATAGCTAATCCACCTAACCTGCACATCTTTGGACTGTGGGAGGAAACCTCCACAGAAACAGGGAAAATGTGCTAACTCCACCTTAGGCTGGAATTGAACCTGAATCCCTACCACTGTGAGGCAGCAGTGCTAACTACTGAGCCACCATGCCATCCCATTTGTTAAAAACCAAAAGAACTGCAGATGCTGTAAATCAGGAACAAAAATGGAAGTTGCTGGAAAAGTTCAGCAGGTCTGGCAGCAGTTGTGGAGAAAAAAATCAGTGTTAAAGTTTTGCGTCCGGTGACTCTTCCTCAAAACCACCCCATTGGGTGTTTGATTTTCAACCTAAAGCTACTACTTTATCTGACCAGTAATAGTTTTTCTGCAATTGAGTTTTCAGTTTTGAAAAGAGTCTGGAGTCAAAAAAATTAATCGCTCTCCCTCAATATATACTGCTGGCTTGCTGAGTGGATCTAGTATTATCTGTTTCAGTTACAAAATCAAAGTGCATTTAATAAAAACTGATATGGAACATTCTATGTGCCTATAAAAAATATGCAATAATATTAAATATCTGTGTATATCTATTCCTTGCAATCATTTAATGCCTAAGTACTGATCTTTCCAACTTGCTCATTAATATACTTATAACTCAAATGTAATTCAGAATTCCATACTGAATTAGAAATGCGCAGAACCAGAGAGCCTTTCTATTTGTATGATTATAATCAATCAAAGTTTTGTTATATTTTTGGTTTGGATGCAGAGATACATTGTGCTTCTCAAAGCACTAAAAGTGAAAGGTTTTAATCAATTACCATGATATTTTCAATTTCACTTTCAAATCAATTAAACTACTCAGAGAGAACTTGTTGGCTTATCTTGAATGTGATAAACTGAAATAGATCAACAGAATAGCAGCATGCTAACAAAGAGGTGTGTTTGAAAGTTTACTGGTTACTTTCCAGAGAGCAAACCTTGCAAATACATTTCGCTTCCTCAATAATTCATAATAGCAAAACAATCCAACAGATTATATCAGTTAAGAAAAAATACCTTTCTTCGTCATAAGTCTTTCCAAATAGTATATTTTCTCTGACACTCCCATGAAATATCCATGCTTGCTGCGATACAAAAGCAAGTGATCCATTGATAGCTACCACCCCATTGTGTAAAACCATCTGCATTAGGAGAAAAATTTCAAGTTATAATTGATCATTCAGAACTCTGGCGAGACGTTCTACCTTCCAAAGCAACTGATCAAATATAATTTACCACTTCCCTCAAATTTATTGGCTCAGGGTTTTGAAGTAAGGCACCTTGTGGTGAAATGCCACCGTTGGATGGTTTCCCCTCACCCTTAAAACTCCAACTAGAATGACCCTGCAGATTGCAAGGAATGTGAATTGTAATAGCAGTATGCTGTCTGAAACTGTCTTGATGAAAGACTATACTAATTGACAATCTGCTGAATCAATTAACTTTAAGGATGGTGAACAAATCAGAAAAGGAAATGAGGCAAATTAATGTCAATTAGAAACAGTAAGAGAAGAAAGAATAGATGAAGCAAGAAAATAAAAGGGCAAATGATAAGTAAGAAAAGTGAGTGAAAAGAAAAAAAATTGAAAATGCCAGAACAGAGCATGAAGAGAAAATGGTGAACTCAAACGGTATGATTTTAAACATGAGGTAACAATTCCAGCTGTGCTGCTGACCATAAGGTGGTCTGAAACTTCCCCTGCTGCCTCCATTCTGCCAGGCATGGTCCTCATCGACCCTTTAGGAGAGCAGGAAATCCAAGTGGCTGAGTTCTTGGTGAGCGCATTTCCTTTCTAAATGCTGCTCCCTTTATCCTGGGGGATTGATTGTGCTTTGCTTTCACTTCCTGATGAAGCTTACTAACAGCCAACACTGACACTTGAGGAGACTTCTGCTGATCCATAAGAGTTGGGATCACAGCAGGAGGGGGGTAAAATTGGGGAGGAGGGAAATATGTTGGATTGGCTCCCCAAACATGTCCTGCCATTGGGAGAATTTTAGCAATGGCAAGAGTTCCTTCTGGCAGGTTTCCTACCACAAGTAGGTGAGGAACAAATTTAAATATTCAAATGCCTTATAAAGAGTCATTTTATCAGGCCATCAATAGTGTGCCAACGGCTGGTGAATCTTCCCATTGGATGGAGATGCTGAAATAACTCTTCAGACGTGAGCATCCCAATACTAATTTACCTTTATTTATAACTGCATAACCTTTGACAGAACACTGCCTCTCAGTGGGTCAGGCGTTCAGGGGGCCACATACGCCTGACATTCATCCTTTTATGTCAGCCAGGTCTCCCTGATTGGACCTGATTGAATTAAATATCCTTTATTGTCATGTGCATCCAATATAAAATACAGTGAAAAGTGTGTACCATTGCTCTTACGTAAGCACCATTCACAGAATAAAAACATTTAAGAAATAATGTAAAGAGAGTCCAACTTTTCCTTCTCCGCTGCTACAGCATGCTGCAGCCAGAGTCCCACTCCAGGCTTTCCAGGCTACGCCATGCCACCGTCAGGAGCCTACTCCACGTGAAAGTGAGAGTCCAATCCAGGTCTCACAGGTCAACCGACCGTCCCTGCAGCTATGCTGTCTCTGAGAATGCCACCACTGCTCTGGAGCCCATCGAAGGCACCTCCTGCTAAAGAGCTCTTTTTTCAGGGAGGTTTGAGGAAAAAAGGGTTGGAAGGGAAGAGGAAAAAAGAAAAGTGCAGACGAGGAAGACAAGCCCGGGCACAGGAGCCCAAACGCTGCCTGCTCCAACGCCGCCATCTTGATCCAATCAGGGAACTCATATTCTATTATGCCCATCCAGCTGACCTCGTTACAATCATTTCAGAGGCCACCAGCTGAATGCAGACAATCTTCCTGTGGCATCCTGGGGGACTTTTTTTGTAATCAAAGTGGTGGGCTTGGGCAGGGAATGCAACTTCTCTGGACCTAGAGATTATTTCAGGGATGTTGCCCCTCCATCAATATAATTTTTATTTTTACTTAAATTTTCTTTGGCCTACCTGGACAGCAAACCCCAGTAGCAGATTATTTTAGAATTTCCACCCAGAAAATCAAGAGGCAAATCACATTGGCCAGCCAAGCATTTTGTCAATTCATGTCTCCAATCATTTTCAGGGCTCCAAACTTTATGGGCAAATTCTGCCCCACATTCGATAGGCTTTCTAAAGTTCTAACATGAGCTAAGAGGCACCTGCTTCACTATAACTTCATCATACCTACAATTTTGATATTTGACTAGTTGATATCTTTAATCATAGACAGAATAAAACATATAGATCTGATCACATTTATTAAACAATCTGATTGTGAGCAAGAATTTCAGAAAAGACGTGCAGCATAACTTTATAATTTCTTCCTATGTACTTAAATCAACTACTTTGATCTAAGTATATACTCAAATTAATTTCTTAAGGCATTTATTTTTCCTCACATGGTATTAGCAGTCTACATATGGTTACTAAATCCAAAATGTGCTTACCTGTCCCAGTAGAGCAGATATTAAAGAACTTTTTCCACTTCCTACATTTCCACAAACTCCTAAAAGTGACCCCTGAGAGAAAAAAAAGTCATCTATAATTTATTAGACTTTGGACATGTCCTCAAATGCAATATGTACCAATGTAACAGGTGTAATATCTGTGTCCATGTACCTTTTCCAAACTGAAGCTTATATTATGGAGAGTCATTAATATAGGGCTGTCTTTCTCTGTTGATGTTTTAGATGTGATTTCTGGCAGTTGACCAGAAATGTTGGGCTCATTTGTTCCATTTGCTTCAGAAACTTTTTTTCCTTTTGGCACCTTGTCAGCAGAATATAATTTTCCATTGCCATTTGTGTTGTCCCATGAAAGTGAAGCATTTTCCATCAGGACCACATGTGGAGAGTCTTTCAGAGTTTTCATGTATACAACAGGATCTTTCATGACTAGAATTTTCTAATAATAAAGTAAGTTTTTATAAGGAACAGGAATGTACAAATCTGAATTGGAATTTTAATAATTGTTTAATTATGCTTCTATAAACAACTTGCATATATTTAAACCAATAAATGTAAAATTATTATCAAAGGTACTAACTTACCTTTAACCTCCGTAAAGAAACTTTAGCCTCTGCAAATGCTTTAACAGAATATGGCAGACTGGCCAATGAAAACTTCATTGAATTGAAAACTGCGATCACAGTAAATGCCTTGAATGATGAGAAAAAAATCATTTTAAAATATAAAGGAACAAATTTACAGATTGTCAGGATAACACCAAGTGTATTATTAAATGTTCTTTCCTTTTAATCTTACCGTGGATGCTGTCAACTCATATCCCAGGAGCGTGTGTACAACAAATGTGAGGACTGTGGCCAATGTTGGTACAATAGGAGCCACTGAAGTATTCACACTTTGAACATATCCTGCTTTTTCTAATATCTTTCGTTCAGTTTTACGAACATCTGTTTCATAAAATTAGCAGCATAAATTGTCTGCATTAGCACAGGATCTAATGTCCCTTAAGATCCATAAAGCTTATATAATTTGAAATATCCATTATTTAAATATTGTAACCGGCCTCCACCACTTCCTCTGGCAGTTCATTCCATACACGCACCACCCTCTGTGTGAAAAAGTTGCCCCTTAGATCCCTTTTATATCTTTTCCCTCTGACTTTAAACCTATGCCCTCTTGTTTAGGACTCACCCACCCTATGGAAAAGACCTTGTCTATTTACCTTATCCACGCCCTTTATGATTTTATAAACTTCTATAAGGTCACTCCTCAGCTTCCAACGCTCCAGGGAAAGTAGCCCTAACGTGTTCAGCCGCTCCCGAAAGCTCAAATCCTCCAACCCTGGCAATATCCTTGTAAATCTTTTCTGAACCCTTTCTAGTTTCACAACATCCTTCCTATAGCAGGGTTGACCAGAATTGCACGCAATACTCCAAAAATGGCTGAGCCAATGTCCTGCAGAGCTGCAACATGACTTTCCAACTCCTATACTCAATGCACTGACCAATAAAGGCAAGCATACCAAATACCTTCTTCACTATCCTATCTGCCTACAACTCCACTTTCAAGGAACTATGAACCTGCACTCCGAGGTTTCTTTGTTCAGCAACACTGCTTAGGACCTTACCATTAAGTGTATAGGTCCTGCCCTGGTTTGCCTTTCCAAAATGCAGCACCTCACATTTATCTAAATTAAACTCCATCTGCCACTCCTCAACCCATTGGCCCATCTGATCAAGATCCCATTGTACTCTGAGGTACCTTCTTCGCTGTCCACTCCCCCGCCAATTTTGGTGTCATCTGCAAATTTACTAACCATACCTACTACATTCACATGCAAATCATTTATATAAATGACAAAAAGCAGTGGAACCAGCACCAATCCTTGTGGCACACCGCTGGTCACAGGCCTTCAGTCTGGAAAGCAACTCTCAACCACCACCCTCTGTCTTCTATCTTCAAGCCAGTCCTGTATCAAATAGCTAGTTCTCCCTGTATTCCATGTAATCTAACCTTGCTAACCAGTCTACCATGAGGAACCTTGTCGAGTGCTTTACTGAAGTCCAAATAGATCACATCCACCGGTCTGCCCTCATCAATCACTTCCCTAGCTTCCCACAGAGTTCTAGGGTATACCTGATCAGGTCACAGGGATTTATCCACCTTTATGCATTTTAAGACGTCCAGCATCTCCTCCTCTGTAATATGGCATTTTTCAAGATGTTGCTATTTATTTCCCCACGTTCTCTATCTTCCACATGCTTCTCCACAGTAAACACTGATGCAAAATACTCATTTGTATCTCACCCATCTCCTGTGTTTCCACACATAGGCGGCCTTGCTGATCTTTAAGGGGCCATATTGTCTCCCTATTTACCCTTTTGTCCTTAATGTATTTGTAGAATCCCTTTGGATTCTCCTATTTGCCAAAGCTATTTCATGTCCCCTTTTTGCTTTCCTAATTTCCCTTTAAGTATACTCCTACTGCCTTTACAGACCTCCAGGGATTCCCTCGATTCTTGCTGTCTATACCTGACATATGTTTCCTTCTTTTTCTTGACTAAAACCTCAATTTCTCTCGTCATCCAGCATTCCCTACACTTATCAACCTTGCATTTCACCAATTCTTTCGATAAGTCTGCAATCTTGGAATAGTAAATGAGTCTGCTTTTGTCACCTCACTGACTTTGTGATAATAAATACAGAACCTTTGTGACCCATCCAATTTCAGCATGATCGCAATAGGTAAGCTCCAGGTACTATGAATCAGTTCAACAATACCACTGCCAAACATGAACTTAATCTCGTCTCTCTCTTGAGCTAATTTCTCTGAATTGAATCTGTAAGATATTGTTTTAGAATTAATGCTACTTATACTTTAATACCATGAACAGCCAAAGATTTTTTTCCTGGTCTATCCACACAAATTGATATATGTTTCTGTAATAGCCTTTGTGAGTCACTTTGAGAGTATTCTGAAAAATAAAATGTTATGCTAACTTTTTAAGCACTTCTGTACTGTTGATTGTTCAAATTCTTGTTCATTCTCCAATTGTTCTGATGTTTTTATTTCACTCTTTATTTCTTTTAATAATGTAAGTGCACTCATCTCTTGGCTATCACCCTTGTCATAGTCCCTCCTTAACATTTTAACATGACACACTCTCTGATCCTTTTTCCTGTCTGGACTACTCACGCCATAATTTATGTCATTGAGTTTATTCTTGATTTGATAACTTACAGTCAACCTTTCTTGTAATGATTCCCCAGAGAAAGGTAACAACACATCTTGGCTCTATTAATAAAATTTCAAACTCTATTCTACAATATTACCTATTCTAGTTCTCATTGTTTGTTGAGCAATCTTCAAATTCTTCTTGGCTAACTTGCATGCTTTGGTTAGTTTCTCTGAAACTTGAAAATAAGTTGAAAGGCTAGTCTCTGAGCTTTGGTTTAACCATTTCTGTTTAATCAATTTAAGTGATCCTGTCACTCATGTTCATGTATCAGTTCAAAGGGACTGAATCCTGAGGACTCGTCAGAACCATCCCTATGGTGAACAGTAACAAAAGAATTCCTTTACTCTAATCGTTAGGACCTTCTTGACAATAAGTTCAAACAATGATCTTCAAAGTTTGATGTCATCTTTTCAATGCATCTTGAGTTTGTGAGTAAAAAGCGAAGTAAATTATTTTATTCCTAAACTAGTCACTATTTCTTTGAATGTTTGTGATGTAAAATTTGAGCCTTGATCTCATTGTATTTACCTGGGTAATCCATATCTTCCAAAAGAATGGATTTAACTTTTGCAATTCCATTCTTACAATGATTTTCCAAAAGTGACTGCTTCTGGAAATCTTGCGGAAACATCCATAATCATTAAAAGATACTGATACTAGCTGGGGTTTGCCAATTACCTGATAAAGACTTCATCTTTATGTAATCCTGGCCAATAAAGATGTTTTTTTTTAACCTGTCCTTTCTAAATGCCTAAAGTAACCTGCCATTGGAATTTTGTGAGGTTCTCATAAAATTTCATGATGATACTCAAATGGACTACCACCTGACGGGCGAATGCCCATTTCTTATTGGCTGATATTTGCAGTAGTGTTAACATCCTTAAGGTATTGCTAAGTGTTCCTACAGATCATGGACCTGTATAGGCCTGTGTGGTAAATTCAGACCAGGCTGGCAGGGTCTGGTACTACATTATTCTCTGGCATCCTGAGGAAAGAGAATGGCCCATGTTCACCCATACCATGCATCAGGACTCCTGTTAGCAAATTGGGGTGCCAACATGCAACTATTAACCACCTCTGGGGCAATGCATCCTAAACTGGAACTGTGAAAGTCAATTCTAAACTTGTAGATTTTGTACTGGTGCACTGCTGGGCTTTAAATATGGCACCAGTGCTGGGAAAGCTGGATTGTCATGGCAGTGGTCTGCACATCTGCCACTGCAAGTGCAAGTAACCACAAAAGTGGCCTCAAGGAGGCATTGTGCTACTTAATGAGGTGACCAGTGCATGATTTTGCAAGAAAATTTGCTGGAATTTAAGGAGAGATAACCTCCATGACATTCCTCTGAAATTAGCCAAATTATGAGAAAATTCAACCCGTGATAATCCCTTGACTTTTCCTGATTACCTTGAATTTTTCTACACGCCCTGTGTTCATGCATCCATTGTAGAAATAATTACATGTAAAGAATTCTGAGCTGTATAGTCAAGTTGGAAAGTGTTTAAATCTGAGACCTTTACTTTGACAGCACAAATAATAATTTCCATTCCAAAGCAAAGTGTCTATCAAACAACAGAGGTAGTAGGTGCAGAATTTTTTAATTCCTTCAGAAGCAAATCTTTCTACTGCCAGTGCAACTAAATTACAGCACAAAAACATGACATCAGAAGACATTTTCCATTGGAAAAGTACTGTATTACTATAATATGTGCCAACAATTACATAATGGAAGTGTCAACTTACTCATACAGGACAGTTCTGTCTGCTGAATCACTGCATTAGATGCACACCTACATTACAGTGCAGCATCTAAGAGTAACATTTGAAAGTGTCAAAATGTTTTACCACTCACATTTCAGCATGTCCTTTGCACTATTTTCCTCATAAACTCTCAACCTTGTTTGTCTTTTTCATGAGTTTCCAAAACTCATATGGCACAGGATCAGGAACATGGAGGAAAATGACATTTTCTCCCCTCAAAAAATGTAAGTGCAACAATTCATTCTCCAAAACCTGTCTCTGAACCCAGATAAAAATTAATTCGCTAGTCTCCAGACACAAGGAACATGTTCAAGCCCTTTAAATAGTGCAGAGAAGTTAAATTATGTGGAAATATTAGAAAAGTGTTTCAGAGGGGATAAAGTTCAGGAAATACATCCGCATTCAAGCAATTTTAATGCCAGGAGACTGTGAAGACAAAAACATTGGCGTTAGATGCTTTAATTTTATTTTAGAGTTTAGATTATATTGTCACGTGTACTCAAGTACAGAAGTACAGGAGTACAGTGAAAAGTCTATAATTTTGCCACACGTGGTGCCATCTTAGATACCAAAGTACCTAGGTACAAAAAAAGCTTAGATACAAAGCAGTAAGTGAAATGAGAGTTAAAAAGTTAGGCATTATTTCGTGGAATAGTAGAAAAGTAAGGAAATATGTTATAGTTTACAGTTTCTGTAGAAGAATGATATAGATGTTCTGAATCACATCCCTTCTCTGTTTATCTTGATGAACTAAGTAATTAGAAAAAGTGGACTTTTGTTAGTTAATAAGTTTTATACACAAATTTTGCTCAGCATAATTATAGAGAAAGGCAAGTTAGTAAAATCTGTTTAATCATATCTTACAGAAACATTTCATAATACTGGTACAGAATTATTTTTTAAATATTATTAGATGGTAAATATGGCAGTGTTTATGCACTGTAAGTTGCTGTGAAAAAGTTAGGAGTCTGTTTTTTATGGTGCTAATTGAGTGAGAAAGTGGTGAACAGGACATGAGAAGAAATGAACTAGACATGAGGAGAAAGCCTTCAGTTTCCTTAAGCAGTTGTAATGCTTTTGATATCCAGCTAAACCAGTTGACAGGTTCTCAGTCTAGCAACTTCTCTAAAGGATAATATTGCCACTAATGCAGTATATAGTTTGTACAGCACAACATTATGAATATACTATCAGCATAGCTCAGTCAGTGGTTAAGTAATACTTCAGTCCAGCACCAAGAAGGTCCTGCATTGTCAGAGATGGCCCTTTATAAGAAATAAAGACCTGACGTGCATGCTTAGATGGATGTAAAAGATCTAATACCACTACTTAAAAAGAAAAGATTTATTTAGGATGCCTGATTTCCCCGTCAGAACAAATCATTTTTGTCCACCTCAAGGAAGGCAGTTGAACAAGAGGAAGACAAAGGACGTGTTTCAAAGACATCCTGAAGGCTTCCCCCAAGAAAGTATGAAGATGTGCTAAATAAATGTAATGTACATTTTGGTCATGAGTTGAACATCGAACTCCTCGTTTGAAATTTGAACCACCATTCATCTAACTCAAAAGTTATACTGCCCGCAAGTTAGCCAAGCTAATAATATATTAACCATTTAATGTGCTACAATTTGTAACAATAGATTTTGTTAGGCATTTCATTGTAATGTCATACCTGAACAGGTATAAATAAAATATAAGCAACAATCCCCAACAAAGATGTTGGACCAAGGATAACGTAAGAATATATTGTGCAGCTGATCAGCAATATTGGAGTACCGAATATAAAAGGACAAAACAAAGCAGCTTCAAATAGTCGATGACCATCATTTGATAGTAGATTCAATACCTGTAAAAATAAAGCAAAATAAAGCAAGTTAATTCCAAGCCATGTTTTTCACTCTTTAAGCCTGATTTGAAATCAATCTATATTTAACACAAAAATGTTACAAACTCTCCTTTGCTTTCATGTTTTCCACAATATTGTTTCAGTGGCAGATTGTCAAATAATTCCAAACTTTTGCAAGACAAAAATTGAATCTGATCTATCAGATCCATTTGGGAAGAGAAAATTCTTATCATTGTTGGGAGAGATTTTCATTATTTAACTTCCATAAAAGCTGATTTCATCTTCGTCATTAAGGTGTTTTGGAGAGGTGATGATATTTTTTATGCCCTTGACATGAAAACAGTAGGTTCATGACACACATTATACTTTTAGAAACAAAACTTCAAAGAGACACACCCCTTTAAAATATGATATGTTACATATTTGGCACAGATATTAGCTGCTGTTTAATCTCTTAGTTGATCTAGCTGCCCTTTTAAATTTTAAAGTATTTAGAAGTGTGGAATATTGCTTTCCAAATGCAGACCTAGTTCAGTGCAGTTCGGATGCTGGATCTATCCTATATTCTCTTTTTTCAGAGAGGTTCACTTTACACGCTTTACACTTATCTGATTACTAGGGGTTAACGAACTCGGTCTTTGCTATTGCATTCATTTTCTAATGGAGGATTGTAAGAAAACAATAGTGAACAAACATTAAAATCAGAATACTACAGCAAGACTATAATGACTTACAAAACCTTTTCAAGAGTCCCATCATTTAATCTGAAGAAGATTTGTAACTTTTATGAATAATGCTTATATGTAATAATTTCCATAATACCATAAGACATAGGAGCAGAAATTAGGCCATTCAGCCCATCAAGTCTGCTCCACCATTCAATCATGTCTGATAAGTTTCTCAACCCTATTCTCCTGCTCTCTCCATGTAACCCTTGATCCCCTTGTCAATCAAGAACCTATCTCTCTCCGTCTTAGATATGTTCAATGATATGGCCTCCACAGCCTTCTGTGGCAGTGAATTTCAGTTTATTTTATTCTGTCACAAAACCCCTTTAATAATTTCTTCCTCAGTCAGCTGGAAATACAAAATATTCAATGCTGCCTAAACAAAATTTGTGTTTTGGTTTTAATTTCCTATTCTTATGAATATTAAATATCAAATTAAAATTTATATTAACATAGATACTCCCAGACAAACAGAGTATATCATGACTATAACAAATAAAAAATAAGGAATTATGGTTATATAATGATTATGTAACTGGACTGACAACCCATCTACCAAACTAAAATCTACACAACAAAGTAGAAAATTGTCCATATACTGTTTGTTCACATCAGCAGGACAAGTCCAATTAGTTTTCCTTAAGCCCAGTATTAGTAAATCATAGAACATATATTGACATTTCTGTAGAGCAACAATTACCACAAACTAAATGGTGGTCTTCTTTGTTATTACATATTTCTTTGCCCATATATTTCAGTTTTATTAGTGTCTTTACTAATAATTGACTCTTGATCATCATAATTCAAAATACATTATTTGTTCATGAGTACATCATTGTTATGAGAGCTTGCTGTGTACAAGTTGTCATCCATTGCCTACATTACAACAATAGTTACACTTTAAACAGAGTTCCAATGGTTATAGAGCACTTTAGGATGTCCTGAGCTCATGAAAACTGTTATATAAATACAAGTTCATTTGATTAACAAACTGATATCCATATATTGAATTAGGCAGCAAAAGACTTTCAGAAATGTATAAAGTTTTTGTTGTAAATCTGTAGTTTAGCACATAAACCAGTTGATACCTTTCTCTTCTCGACCCATTCACTGTCCAGATTCCAAGTTCCCACTGGGGAAGAACACAGCTATTTTTCTATCTCAACCTGTTCAGACATGTCATAACACACCAGCAAAATAAAAACCGAAAGAATTGCGGATGCTGTAAATCGGGAACAAAAACAGAAGTTGCTGGAAGCTCAGGTTTGGCAGCATCTGTGATGAAAAAAAATCAGAGTTAATGTTTCTGTGGAACCAGTTCTGAGGAATGGTCACCAGACCCAAAATGTTAACTCTGATTTTTTCTTCACGGATGCTGCCAAACCTGCTGAGTGTGACACACCAGCAGGCGGGACTTGAACGCAGGTCTTCTGGCCACAGGTAAAGTCACGACCACTGCATCACAAGAACCCTAAGAGCACAGCTTTATATAAAAGAATTAGTAACCCACCACCAAATTTAACTGAACCCAACACTTCCTTTTGTATAGGAATCTGCATTCCTATCGACAATATCATTTTTAAACACCACCTTCTTAAAGTAGTGGAACACAAGAAGATGGTGGGAAGTTGCAGCAAATGGAGACAGATGTGAAAATTAATAATAGTGAGCAATAGGTTGGGGAAAGCGCAAAGCTTTGAAAATATTTAAATTGGTTCTTGGTTTGGTATTACTCAGGGATGGAAAATGTAGTTTAAGTTATTGTGGAATGCCTAAAGACCAGAAACACTATGTGCTGAGTACCAGGATATGAGTGGCGCTGCTTACCAAATCCTGCATTATGATTAAAATGGGGAAGGTAACAAAGGATGTCATAATGGTAGAAGAATGAAAGGTTTTTCAAAGTGGCAGCATGCAAATGAGTTGCTAATATTTGACACACTGCTGACAGGTCCAGGCATATATCTAATCAGAGGGCCAGTACCATTTTGTACTCGTGGAATTACTGAGTAAATGATAGTGGAATGTCTGGCAACAATGGGGTATAGATTTTGGTATTGCAGGATTATATGGAGAGGTCTAGATATTTGGGAACATTGATGAATTATACTGAGATCTATTATTACAAGGAGTGGAGGATGTGAATTTGTAACAACACTGGGGTGCCAGAGAAAAGTGTAGGTCTGGCAGTGCTGCTGTCAATTTTTGAAGGTGCATGAGAGGGCATGAAAGGGCATCTTATGATGTAGAAAAATTAGGAACTGGGGTTTGGAAGTGCAAGCATGGTCTTGTAGTCTGAACGTAATGGGGAGAAGTTCTAGGCACCTGAACATATTTGCCTGAGCTCTCTGTTTCTAGAAGCTAGAAGTTTCTAGAAGAGGCCCCAGGGACCTCCAAGTGATTAAGTTAGGGAGGTGGGCCAAGTAGAGTTTGCTCCAATCTTTCTCCTGCTGATTATTAAGAAAGCAAGGTTTTACATTTAAGCAACACATTTAATGACCTCAGGGTGTCCTGAAGTGCTTCAGGAAATGCAAATGCCACTAAAATAACTTTGTAATATATGAGATGGCTGTCCAAATCATCCAGGATCCAAAGTCATGTTGTATTTTATGACCTTAATCATAGCCACAAGCCTAGCAGAATAAATTTGAGCCAAGGTAGATCAAGGTCAGTTAAGAATGTGTTCTGTCAAATCAGGAGATGTTTGAGTAAACTTCGATGGGTGCAGCAACAGTAACGTAAACCATTTAGACATTTGGTTTGACCAATATTTCAACTGACTACAGTCTGTGAGCTATTTTAAAAAGCTGGATCTGCCACAGGGAAAAGAGCAGAAAAAAATCAGTAGGTTACTGTCATATAACTTACTCAACCAATACGGAAATCAATGAAGGGCAACTAAGTAATCTTACAATATAGATTAGTGCTTACCTCACCAATGGAAATATTGTTTAAACTTTTAAGATGGATCAGCTTAACAAATGCCAAAGTAGAAATGGCACCTTTTAGTCGAATGGCAGTCTGATAATTGATAGCCCATGAGGCTGTGAAGAAAGTTGTTTTACAGAGCTCTGTGGTAAATAAGGCAAAGCATAGACCGACTCCATAAACAAGATTGTCTGACTTTTTTTCAATATGTTGGAGGATAGCATGAACCAGCACTGCCTGTAAAGTAAGGAACAGAATTTGCAGTCAAACAGTAATAATACTGTGACACTTTTGTATTCAACATGATGCTAATGGGATACATCTGTTTTATATAGATGCAACAATAATAACCAAAACCTGCATCTATGTGGTATCTTTAATAAGAAAATATATCCAAAGTCAAGTGATAGTGAATATACAGTAAATGGACACCAGGCCAAGACAGCAGAGTAAAAGGTGTGAGCAAAATGTCTTTAAAGGTGAGCAGAACAGTGAGGTATGGGGAGGGAGTTCCAGAACAGAAATCTATATGACTGAAATGTTACCAGTTCTGGTAAGGGGAGGGAGCACTAAACATTAGGATAAATGGAATGGAGTATTCAGCAGGGAGGAGGGATATGGAGCAGATATGCTGAGTTGAGATCATGAAGTCATTTGAAGATACTAAGGATTTTAGGTTTAAAGTTTGTGGAATAGGGTACATTGGTCAAGGTGGCCTTGAGTACAAACAGGACTTATTGTGGGGCAGGTTACTTCAATAGAATGTGGAGGAGGGATTCTGCAAGGATAGCAAGAAAGGTTAGGGTATGTAACATACTGAGCAGGAAACAAGTTGGTTATGGAGGCTGCTCTTCGCTATAGGGTGGAGTCGGGACCTCCTGCCCTTATCCAAGGTTTGTTGACATCTTTACAATGGTGGATCCTGAAGCAACAGAAATCAGGAAAACAAGCCTCACACCTTCACCATAATTTACATATTCCCCCAGCAGTGAATGGCAGGGGTGTAGGGTGGGACAATTATTGTTGGAATAGAAACACTACAGGTGGCTTCACCACCTCAATTTCTCACTGTTTCTGCCATTATCCTGCCTGATGTGAAGGAAAATCGTGATTTGCGTACCAGACCGGTATTAGTCCACTCATTGATTTGTACAATAGTCGTTCAGAGCAATTCTCTCTGTACTCTGCCTCAACAGCATTTTTAACTCATAGATTTTGAATATTAATGTCTGTTCCACTAGTGTGAGGGTTTTCTCTTTTTATGTTGATTATATTTTTGTGTGAGATTGCGGAATAAATGGCTGTTTTGCCCTTTAGTTATGTGACCTTCTGAAATTATGCTAACATTCATTTTATGCTTTATCTCACGGTAAAGGTCATATTAAAGAGAAAAGTTTCCAAATGGTTTCATAAATTGGAGAGACATAAATAATATGCATTTATGACCAGGATCATATTCTTTCATGCTTTAAGATATGATGGCTAATTTGCCATGCTTCAGTGTTTATCTAAAATCTATGCCATTTCAAACTTATTGAAATACAAGAAAATACAGTAACTATTGTAAAAGCATGTAATTGCTTCTTAGACAAGAAAATGCATGTGAGTACATACCGGTCCCAAAAAGCTAGAAATCATACAAATGACCGTGCAAATTATATTCATAATAAGTCTTGTTCGCTGAAACTGCACAGCCACTTTCTCCAAAGAAGCTTTCTCGCTGCCCATTCTTTCCAACTCATTCTTCCAAAGGCGTAAGAATCTGTAAATATTTTTCAGCAAAATGTCAGAGTTTTCATTTTGTTTTTATGCCTGTTTTTATAAATTCTGATCACTCAAAATGTACTTCCAAATCGACAGACCTTCTGGCGTTCACATCTGAACAATTGAACTGGGAGAGGGGAGGCACAGTGTCTTGATTCAGTTTTTTCTTGAACCCTTTGATCATCAGTGGTGTCAGCCATGAGAAATAGATGAATGAAAATAAGCCAGCATCATCTACTGGAGATGGAGATGGATTCCTGTGAAAATGTTTTCATTGTATGTAACAAAGGTTGCTTAATTGTGAAAATCAGACAGGCCTTGCATTATAGAGCAGATTTTTTTCACTTACTTTGGCTTTGGACGTATAGGAATCATTGTTTTAGAGCTCTGATAGTATTTGTGGTGCTTATTCTGTACATCTTGTATATCTTCATCATTGAAACTTGGAAATTCCATGTCACTGACTTCTGGAACTGTGCGTCAATATCAGGAAGCTGACTCTTAAAATTAGAGTCACAAGTTAAATATTGAATAAATAGAAGAAATCATAGTTTTTATACAAAAATTGGGCATCATGTTAGAGATCTTGCAATGATTTAAACAAATACAATAGTGATGTATATTTAATTTCTAGAATATTTGACATTGCATTATCAATGTTAATGTGCAATTGCTTGAACACCAAGCCTCTTAACTCCTGCGTAAGGTATGTGGTTCTACAGTGCTATGACAGCAGATACACCAGTAATTTCTTTTTCCCTTGGTAAAAGATAGCCATATAGAAAGTAATTTCAACCCCGAAATGAAAGATCCAAAGAACTAAAAGGTTTCATAGTTCGGAGTAAACGTTATGTAATAATTATGATGATGAAACTATTCTCCAAATTTCTTAACTAAACTTTTGTAATAATTCTCATCCTCACAGCAATTTTCCACATGTAACCCTTTTATACTCAAAATGTGCTTGCTGTTCATCCTTCTCCTTATATTTTCAGTTTCGGTTCAAGATACATCACACAATCAGTTACTCTCAAAACCTGTTTTATTTTCTCTGAAAGCAATGCCAAATATCTGGTGGTGAAAGTGACCATGGAAACAGACTTCTGTCTGGTTACCAATTCTAGGGAACTGTAACCTGTTTAAGGGGATTTTCTGACTCTTGTTTACGTGGACATGCTGTGATAATTTAGAATATCGCTTAAATAAATAGTGATCTTTCAAATTGCATTTTATGGAATTAATCAAAATTATTTATTTGTGTTTGTTAACTTTCCTATTCATTTTGTAGTTCATTATTTCACACGGATAAAGACAGGCTGTGGCTGCAAAAAAAAACCAGGTTACAGGAACTACAAGGAACAGTTCTTCCATCTCAAGCTCATTGAGGATGAGTGCTTTAGATGCCTGTGCTTCGTTAAGGAAATACCCATCGAAATCTGTTTCTCTTTGATATTCATTAACAGAGTGTGAGCATTGTTTTCCATTCATAATGCGACTAGAAATGATGGTGATGCACCACTTTAAAGTCCCTGGTGGATATGGTCTCCTGTTGAAAGGACTTCTTTCTCTTTCCTCTCCCTGTTCAGCAGTTTGTCTTTCCCTGTCTTGCCTCTCTCATTCTTCAAACCGAGAGGGATGATGAAGAGAGCATTCAAGTGTGAGAGCCAGCGGTCAGAGCTGGATTCTTGCAATGATGACTGAGTCCTTCTCTACATGCCACATCACTCCCTGTAGCTGAGGCCAACTTTATCTAAGGGTTATAACCTAAAAGTATTTAAAGAACTTTGCAAAAGCCAAAGGAAGCCAATCAGGAACTAACACGAGAGCTGTTAATGATGCCTTTTAAACATCAGGGGATCTTTCCTGCTGCTGAATACATATTCAAATATATGAATGTTGACAGATGTTAAAAAAAGGCATTCTTCTAGAACACCGCAGTTGTAAATGGTACAGCAAGAGTCCAATAATCATTACACACTGACCATTTCACAGTCTGTCTACTCTGAAAAACACTGCTAGGGCTCATATAACTACATACCCAAAATGGAGACTAATGCAGCCTACACCACAAGTGTGCACGTGAACTATGGACACCATTTTTGGTCCCATAGCGGTAACAATAAAGTGCAAAAAATGTGCTTTAGAGCCAATTTTACAGCTATGGAGTCATACCGCCCAAAAGTCCACTTGGCATTTATGCCCATGTAAGCATTGTTTGCAACAATGATCCAATTAGTTTCATTACGCAGCTACTTCCCCATAGTCCTGAATGTTTTTTCACTTCAATTTCTTCCCCACAGAAAAATTTGGCCTCTACTGCTGCTGTGAATCTTACCAGAATAACTACTGAGATACACTGGAGTAGATGCTGGGAAATTATGTTTACATCCCATTGATATTTCATCTTCTTTTCCATTAAACACCGACAGTAAGGTGACAAAGCTGGCCAAAGCAGCACACTATCTTTTATAATAAAATATGTTCAGGGTAGCTCCAGAAATCTTATCAAATCACAGAGGGGTTCAGAGAAGATTTACTGAAATGGTGCTGGGGAAAACGAACTTCAGTTATATGGAGAAACTAAAGAAGCTGGATTGTATTCCTTACAGTTGAGAAGGTTCAACTGGGTTCAATAGAAGTGTTCAAAAATATAAATTTTCTTGTAAATTTTTTGCAGCAGAGAGTAGATACAGAGAAACTGTTTTCACTGGCCGGATAGTAAGAACTCATATCTATAATAATTGGTGAAAGAGTCAGGGGAACATTTTATGTATACATAAAGGCCTGGATTTTAAAATGGTCAGATAGTAATTTCTGCAGCATAGATGGTTATTATGCATTAGATCCCTGCAGAATTTCTAAAATAGCACCCACCTAGCGAATTACCCAGAAAATTGATATTCTGATGGGAAATTCCTCAATGTCTGGAATCCTCCAAAAGTATCCATTCCAGTCGGAGAGTAAAGTGCAGTTAACAATTACCTAGGAATAGTCAGAAGATTAAAATCCTGGGGTGGAATCTTACAGAGACCTGAGTGATGTGGGCAACGGCAAAATTTGGAGCAGTATCACACAAGAAGTCCAGAGAGGCGGAATTCAATTTCGGGTGCATTTTGCTCCATCTTTTAGATACTTAAAGCAATCTGTTCAAACATGTTATGACCCATGTCTGGAACAGGTGGGTCTAAAATCCAAGCTTTCTGACCCAAATGTATGGACACCACCACTGCACCACAAGATCCCTTCTAAAGGAGAGTTGATGGACATGGTATTTATTTTCCCGGAGGTGGAGACACTACTACTGTGCCATCAGCCCTTGAACATTAGCCTGGGTCTCTGGATTACCAAGCCAGCATTATTACCATGTTGCCACTGACTGCCTCTACTCCATCTTTTATAGTTTTGACAAAAGATGTGGCAACTTTTTCACTAGACAGCGGTGAGTTGCTAATTAAGAGTAATTATTACTTGTTAAATGCCTTGTTAATGGCTTAATTTGTTTAATTAGTATTCAATTTCCTATTTTACCAAACGTGCCAAACAAGCTAGACGTTTCATACACTCAAGATGAAATTCAGAGCAAGTACCTGATGATATTACCTCATTGCTTGCTTCGAAGGACCTAAATATTGGATTCTGAGCAACATCTCAGGGCAAGCTGCATGGGTACCGGCCACAAGCACCCCACGTTCACATCTGACATATGCCAACCTTTAACCACTCTCATAGCACATCACCAATTCACTTACAGTATACTTCTGCACTTCAATGCTGCGCTTCGGGCTACACCAACAACTATCACTAAGTGCACTTCATGGGCTAGACTAGGCTGCATCCGTGGGCTCTTTGCTCACTGCCACAGCACTCACTCACAGCCTACCTGGATGCTCACAGTATCTCTACCTTGCTTTGCCTTCCTTTGCCTTTGGGCACTTTGCCCCCTCAACCAAAAATACCAGGCTTATATTGCTTCTGTTTTGCCTTGCCATTTAGTGCAGACACAAAGGCAGAAAGCTTGTCGTGGTTGTCAACAAGCATCAGTTAGGTCAAGGGGAATAGCCTTTGAGCAACACAGTAACAATGTAACAGTAATGCAAGGGTAGCCTCTGATACCAGTCCAGGGGCTTTGTCAAGAGTCAGAATCCTCTCCAGTTAAGGGGAATGATGGGCAGTGCACCACCTGTGTTGAGTCTTTCTGCCCAATTGTGAGTTGTTTACTTTGTGGAATGAGAGAGAGGCAGGTATTAAAGTTAATAAAAGTTTGTGGCACATCTACTACTTTAGTGCAGGTGGGGAGGTGTCCTGAGCGAGTGAGTAGGCAGCACAGAGACCATATATTGTTAGTGCTGTTGGAGCTGGGATGGGTAAGTGTGAGTGTGGAAAAATTTTTTAGACGATAGTGAGCATATCGAGAGGAGATGGTGAAGCTTACTTTGGCAGAGTGGAGGAGAAGACCTTCTTCCTTTATTGCCGTGCATTCCTCCAGATGGCTGAGACTGCTTTAATGCAGGTGGCAATCTGGACCAGGCTGGCACAGTTTGATCTTGTGGCCTCTACTGATGATCATGGGGGAATAGGAAGTTGCACGTCTTCACTATCCCATTCAGCAGGACATCCAAGTCCCTGCCTGCAATGCAGAGCATTGATTTTACCCTGTAGTCATGCCCACAGCAAATGTCAGAAACTGTGCAGGGCACCTCCAGAGTGACAGTACTTGTCCGAGTCTGCAATGGGCTTTTAAAGATGGCGCAGGAGTTGCCAGTGAATCCGGGATATCTACCAAGTGGTGAGTTGTTCTGGGAATGTTGTGTGATAAGATGGTATCAAAATTGGACATGCCAGACGTCATCGTGAATGAGGCGATATACAGTGAGAAATCTTGTTAAGCCTCATTGTGGAAATTGCTCCAAAATCCTCATTCCAACTTGGACTTAGTCAAAAAAATGTACATTTCAATTCCTGGTCTACCTCCTGGGTAACTTTTACAGTGACCCCTCCATACTTACTTTGGCTTAACATGAATCTGGGATGTGGAATGCACAATCTGAAATGGTGGAAGCAGATTTAACAGCAATTTTCAAAAGACAATTGGATTTATGTTTTACTTAAAATAGCTGTTGAATTATTGAATCATAGAACAGCACAGAAAAAAGCCATTCAGCCAACAGGTCTACTCTTTCAAAGAACAATTCAGTGACCCCACCCTCCAACCATTTCCTCATTCTGGGAAAATTCCTATCCCTCAAGTATTTATCCAATTTCCTTTCTAATGCTACAATTAAGTCTGTATCCAATACCCTATTTCAAATCTTTTTGTAAAGTCATTTTGTGAAGTCATTTGTAAAATTAAAAAAATTGCTTTTCCTTGTGGTGTCTCTGCTTCTTTTGCCAATTACCTGAAATGCATGCCCAATGGTTATTGACCCTTCATACATTGGAAATGGTTTCTCTTTGTATACTTTATAAAAGCCCTTCATAAGTTTTAATGACTTCTATCAAA